CTGGGGTCCAAGCTGCTACTCTGCGAGGCCTGGCGTTGTCCTACCCCCACTCATTTGCAGGGCCGCGACTTCTGTGTGACTGGGCCAGGGTTTGCTGGGGCTGCTGGCAGGGCTGCTGTGGGTCTGACCTGGTTAACTGGTTACCTATCCAGTAAGATTATCCATATAACTTTTTATATCCCTAGTACAAATTTAGATTCCAGTCACTTTTACTCAAGCATATTTGAAAATGTTCCAAAGGCTGATCTGAAATCAATTTTAATTCCAGTTAAATCTTAATGCAACTTGACACCAATGACCAAAAAGTCAGTTTTCTAGTATTTAGGCAATGTATCATTCACCATTTTCTAACATACTAAAATAATACAATTAATAAGAATTTGAAAATATTTAGTTATATAGCTGCTAAGATAAACATATATTTTTATAATGTATATTGTAGGTAGCAAAATTATTTTCCAAATCTAGCAATCAACACGTTTTAGTGATTGTATCAACCAGTGAGAATGCATCTTTCTTCAATTATTTTCTAAAGTACAAATGGAAGAGTTGATTAATATTGTTTGAAATCAATTTTCTACTTGGTGATTTAAATTGCCAATCAATCTACCCTGTCTTCCTTAATGTATTGCTTTGTTGACATGCAGTTTGGAACATCCCATACTCACGTTATTCTGCAACTGTGGAAAGCTGGTACATAGGTTATCTGTAGAGAAAAATTACTTGCCTTGTAATTCTGCCTATCTAAAGATATTATTAGAGGATTCTTACTCGTATTCATATCGGAATTTAGGCATCTTCTTATGAGGTTATGTTTTTTCTTTTATGTGTAATGCAATTAACTGTGAGGTCATACACCCAAAAGCAAAGAATATAGGTCACACTTACAAGATCAGAGAACTATATATTTGAAAGTAGTCATCCAGAAAGAAACTTCGTGGGTCATGATGGATAATCAAGTGAACAGGAGCTTCCTGTGTGGTATGGTGGCTAGGGGAGCAAAGTCATCCTTGTATTTATAAATGAAGTCAAGATCACAGAAGTAGGAGATGCTCTTGCTACTAATTATGGCATTGTTGAGATCGCTGTTGAAATATTGTATCTATTTCTCGAGTCAACACTTGAAAATTTATGTTGACAATCAGAGAATTCAGAAAAGACCTACAAGAGCAATTTGAGTTCTAGAAAAAATGTGCTGCAGTAATAGAGTAAAGAAGGTCAATCTGTTTAGTTGAGCCAAAAGAAAGGGTACTTGAGCACAGTGAAAATACAGGGAGAGAAGTTGGAGGTGATTTGTGGTGTGGTCTAAAATGTAATGTTTATGATCTGTGGGAACACCATGAAGAGAGCTTCTACAGTATAGTCTGGAATCAGAAAATCTTAATATGTGGGACTTGAGAATAGGGTTCTTCCTCAAGGATGTAGGGTGGAAGATTTTTAAGTTAAGTATATGTATGTAGATATATCAGGAAAGAAAGTAAATGAAAAATAATTGAACAAAGTAATATCAACCTGGCCTCACAGCTATTTTATGTTGTTTATGTTACCCTTTTACATACCAAGCTAGTTATCTTTGAGGGAGCACTTGATGATAAAGACTTACTGTTACTGGAATAGGAAAATGCCATGGTGTCTTGGCAAATACTTTTCTCAGTAAATAATTTTGTAATATTAAAGGCTTTGTGTGTTTAGAGGCAGAACCATTCAATAGCTGAAAGGGAAAAATACTTTACAGTCAACATATTACACAAACTATAGTGAGAGATTGTGCCATATACACTCTCAAAGAAACTGAGGAGCAACCTAATCAACATCCTTATACAGCAAACAGGAGAAGATGAAGAATGAGCTCTCAGAACTGCAGCCTCTCATAAAAATAATTTCTTTTTTAGTTGTTGTTATATATAACCCAGCCTCAGTAATTTCCACTCCAGTTAATCTGATGAATGGAGGATTGGCCACAGGATTCCTCGTTGTTTTATACAGTCACTGTGCTACTAGTATCTATTTGATTGATTGGCTGTTTTAAGAAACCTTGAGTGTGAATGTTGCTATTGTCGCACCAAAAGTTTTGTTATACTGTGGAGTTTACCCACATACACTCTGTTTTATGAAAACATTGAGGAAGTAAAATATTTGTGTGGGAGAGTATTAACATTAAATAAACAGATTTTTATTTCTCTTTTGATGTTAAAACTGCAGGAGGAATTCAGGGATAGGAATAAATGAGGCAGGAAAGTGAAGCATGTTGGGCCATCACAGATAAGGATTCTTTTGGCTGAGAGGAGCAGCTTGCTGTATTTATTTTACTGGCACATGCAATCTTCATTTTGACAGGTTGACCCCTCCCAGGTTACCCTGAATATATGAGGTTTGAAGATGGAATGCAGCTTTGCCAGTTTGTATAATATTGCCTATTACAAAGGCAGTATATATAAAATAATGATGACTCAGGTGTTCTTAATTCTAAATGCATCAGAGTTAAAAGAAAACTTCACTGTATCTTTCATATAGTTTTGGTAAATCCGAGTAACAGGAATCCTTAAAACAAGATTCATATTCTGTGCAAGTTCTAAAATTGTGTTATATACTATAGGATACTATTTATGTTGTGTACAGTACCATATAATAAACAGTAAGCTTCTTCTCTAATCCTGCAACTCATAGAAGAAAAGTGGCTAAGAAATGTTCAAGAGGGTGGAACGTTACAAGGTTCATGTCCTTTTATATTTCTCTTATAATAATTTTATGATAACCTTAAGCTAAATGTTAAAGATATCTCAGCAGTTCCAATAAAAACAGTTTACTAAAGGGAACTTACAGCGAAACTTTTTGTGAGCCATTACTTGGCATATAAAATTATTCTTGCTCCAGGGCAAACTTTTGACCAAAAAATCTTAAACTTAAATATATGCTAATTAGTAGGTATCCTAGCGTTCCTCTCTTTAATAAATCCCTCCCTAACATCTACCCCATCTCTGACTGCTCGAAAAAGCAGAATTCTCTTAGGCCTGATTGCTGCTATGGTGATGTCTTTTCTGTCCCCCATTGCTTTCATGAGAATTGGTGTATGAATAACTCAAAGATGCTTTATGCAAAGTACACTGTGTGACATGCCATTTTAAATGTTGTAGTCCACTGAATCCTATTTGTGTGCTTTCATTCTTCTTGTATATAACGTTAGAAATATTAAGTGGGAACCTGTTTTATTAGTCTAGGTATTCTAGCAAAAGCCATTTAGTGATACTTTAGGAATTTGATGGCTGGGTGATCAAGTCAACAACTTGTGAATGGTTTTGTTTTTCCTGTAAATCCAAATTGTGGTTAATCCTACAAAAACATGTGACCATGCCACCTGATGCTGGAAGCCATTTAGGATCTGGTACCTTTCCATTCAAGGTGAGGAAAAATTTGATCTTAACACAAAGAAATCCCAGCTGGAGCAAAGGAATATAAAAGGAGGAAACAAACAATGGGGGAGTGACATGATGCCAGGAGAACCTCTACTTTACCACTCAAGATGCCTGCTGGAAACTAGGGATGTTAGGGATGTTAAAATGCAGGTAACTGGGTAAGGATGTAACAGCTGACAACTACAGTGGTTACACGCACCTGCAGTGGGGTGGCAGCCAGCTCCATGGGAGCCAGCACGTACCATCTCCTGCCTGCCAGTCCTGCTCTTGGGAAATCAGCTGCCATCCCACACTGCAGCAGCATGGGGTGTCAGCTAGTTCCCTGGGAGTGGAGCAGCAGCCTGGGTGTAACCAGTCATGGTAACCGATAAGCCCAGGCTTACCAGTTAACCATGTAAATGGTTTTCCTATTACATTCCACTGGAAACATCTAAAACTGAACAGAGGAAAGATTGAGCCCAAGCTAGGAAGCTGCCTAGCTTGTGAAAAAGATACTTAAAACAATGCTTAGGGTAAGAATTTCATTTAACAAATGTCTTCACTGTTTTAGGATTAGCTGGTGTGTTTTGTTTGTTTTGGTTTAGGAATTTATTTGATCTGTTTTCACTTGCAACCTCTTAAATCCTACTTTTTATACTTAATAAAACATTTTTATTATCAAGCCCAGTGTAAATAATTGTTAAATAATTGTTACCTGGGGGGAGGGGAAGTGCAATCATGGTGCATATCTCTTTCATTGATGAAGACGACAAACTTCTAAGTTTTCCCTGCATAAAACTTTTTTTTGTACAGAGTTAGATGGTTTTATTTGGGATTTTGGTCCTCTTTTGTGGGCTGTGTTCCTGGGTGCTGTCAGTGGCCTTTTAGCTGAGCTCTCAAGAGGTATGCTGGTTCTATGTCTGTGTTACTGTGCTGGGGGCCTGTTACCTCAACTGTACCTGGGTTGTGGGAGATGAGAGCTTCTGGCCTAGCAAGACAGTGTGGTGGGGCATCCCAGAGGGCAGGATGGTAGGCTTAGCAGCATGACCATCATAGTGGGTGACAATCCCAAGGGGGCCTCTGTGATTGAACCCGTAACATTCTCTTCCATCTCTCTGGCTACATTGAAAGGAGGGGGCAGGGTGCCTACTAGCCTACTAGATTGTTGTGAAGGGGGCTGTTTTTTCTACTTTAGTCCCTGATCCTTTTCACCTCCATTTTGGGAGGAGTCCCACTTCAGCAAATAACTTCGATATTTGGATCAGCTATTGCTTATGGCTCTTCCTAGCAGCAGTAGAATGAAATTGTTTGTGAGAGGCTGAATAGTGCTTATGGGGTTCTGAATGGTGGTAGTAAATAAGCAACAAGATACTGACAATGACAAGCTGCTTCTTGGCAGAACTATGTGGATCAGCAGACTTGGGTGCAGATATTATGTAGTCTCTGACCAAGGCATCATTCTAAAATGAAGCTGAAATTCTGTAGGTGAAATTCCCTTGTTCCTCTCTCAGGAAAGAATGCCAGAGATATCTTGCACTAAGCAGTACAATCTGCTTGCCATGGTATTATAAATAAATAATCCTGATTTATATTTGTTTTTTATTTCAGATCTGAAATTTGAGTTCTGACTTGTGCATTCTTGCAAAAGAAATCTGTCGACTATCGAAAAAAATGGGGACTCCTGGATCGGGTAGGAAAAGAACTCCAATAAAAGATAGATTCTCTGCAGAAGATGAAGCCTTGAGTCACATTGCCAGAGAGGTCTGTCATTATTACATTATCTAACATATAAAGGGCAAATGAAAATTGCTTAACCCAGAATGGATACATACATTCAAATTAAAACTGTTGTCACTTTAGGAACTATACATTCAACAATTACTAGTTGCAGGTTTTGGATAATTGTTATTAAAATTGAAGTATTGAAATACATAATAACCTAAAACATTACAGTAATATATTTCAGTTTAGTTTAATTTTAAAGTGTATTGTAGATATTGTTGTTTTACTCTCTAGTAATTGGTTATATATTTTCCAAATAAATGGCTTTTAATCCAAAAATGTTTTGAAAATCTATATTTCTTTACTGTGACTTGACCTAAAGCATGGGGTTATTTATGTTGAATTAAAAGATAAGAACGGCCAAACAGGGTCGGACCAAAGATCAGTCTAGCCCAGTATACTATCTTCAGATAGAGGCAAATGCCAGGTGCTCCAGCATAAATGAACAGAATGAGTAATCCCAGCTTCTGACAAACAGAGGCTAGGGACACCATTTCTACCATCCTGGCTAATGGCTATCCTCCATGAATTTAACAAGGTTAAAAAAAGAACTAGATAATGCCCTGGTCTTCAGTGTCCTTTGGCAGGGAGTTCCACAGATTCTGGTGAGAGACTTTTTAAAATTGCTATTTCCTCTCTGTCACTTCTGTTGTGAGCATGCAAAATAATTGAACATGAGAATTCTAAAATACCATCAAATACCATCTGTATTACCATCAAAGCAGCAAGAAACAGAGTTAGGAATCTGGGTGGATAAAAATAAACGATTTAAAAAAAATACACCAGATTTTTCTTTTTTAAAATATCAATAAAATGTTAATTTTTTCTTTTAAAAATAATTTACTATTAAATCTCATCACAAATATGCTTGGGAAGTTGAAATGCATTTCATCAGCTAATTGAATAGTCGATGGAATTTCAAGTAGTCGATGGATTAGTTGATAAGGGGGAGCTAACCCTCCTTTATAAGGAGCCCCAGAAGCTAATCCTGCTATGCTTCTGCCCTTTAAACGTATTAAGCTCTACTTAATACATTTAAAAGGCAGAAGCGTAGTAAGCAGACCAGATGTGAGTCAGGAATCAACTGATTCCCAGTTTGTGCCCAAACTCCCCACTATGCCTCTGCCTCCCCTGCTCTCCCTGCAGAGACAATGCTGGGGGAACTGGCTTTTAAGCTTGCCCCTACCCCCTTTGCTGCTTCTCTTTGATAGAGGTAGCCAGGGGGAGAAGTGACTAGTGGAGTCACTACTCGACTATCTGATAAGCCTTTGTGTATCAGGTAGTTCACTAGTCATTTACATCCCTAAAATATGCTGCACTTACACTTACAGTCTGATTAAAAATGAGTTAATGGCTCTAGTCTATCAGCTCTTACTTCTTGAAAATTCTGGGCTTTCAATTTCTGTTTCTCAGCAGTTTAAAGTAACATGCAAAGAAAGATAGAGGCTGCGTAGGATTACTTTTGTTCTATGCTTATGTAGTGGACTTGGGCTAAGCATGGCACAGAAGTCAGTTAAGACATTGTCTTAAAGATGGAGAGTCAATATATAGGGAATGATGGAGAGAGCATAGAAAGGAGCAGTGGAGTGGACTGGAAAGAAAAATATTCCACGACACTTTTGCTACAGAAAAACTGTCGGGGCTTCTGGGCATGAGAGAGACCTTCTCTTGGAATATTTTGAAGAAATTTGTTCCCTGGGTAAAAAAGAAAGTGTCAGGCGTAAGACGTGCAAGAAGACAAGGCAGAGCCTAGTTGCAAGAATGAAACAACGTAAGGAAAACTAGTCATAGCAAGAAAATTATGTGGATATGGCTGAAGAACAAAGTGGATAAACTACAGGCAGTCCCCGAATTACGCGGATCCGACTTATGTTGGATCCGCAGACACGAACGGGGATTTTCTCGCCCCGGAGGACTGGAGCGGCGGGACGCCTGGTCCCGCC